TTTGAACGTAAATCTTGTTACTCACTTACCATTTGACAGATCGACTAAAGTTATTAAATTTTTTTTAATTTGATTTTTTTGATCAGTTGCAATTTAAACAGTATAGAGAAACTCATTTTATATTATCATTATTTATACATTTTTACTCATTATTTTTGTGATTTACAGAAAAGAAAATTCGAGCACAATATCCAGAAACAAAACTCCGTTATCGAGTTGTTGATATAATTTAAAAATAAATAACATTATTTTTGGTGCTTTTCAGTTTCAAAAATTGTAATCATTTTTCAGTCTTAAAATTTTATTTGTTTTAAGCTAATATTTAACAAAAAATTTAACCATTACAAAACTGGACTCAATTTTAAAAAAAATATTTTTGCTTTTAAAATTGCTGTTGAAACAGAACTCATTGCTAAGCTAACGTTTTGTAAAATATTTGAAGATTTATTTTTCAAATCGTTTTTTTAAGCATTTGTTGCTAATTAAAATACATTGCTAAATTTCAGTTACAGAAGAAATTTAGAAATTAAAATGTTTTTCAATGAAATTAAATATTACAAAAATATTATATTCAGCTAAAAAAATATATTGTTATGTAATTACCATAATATAAAATAGAAATTATAATTAGTTCAAGTAGTAAATCGCGTATTTAAACTCATTTTGTTTATATTTTCATTTCAAGTTGTGTATTTGTCTAAAATGAACGTTTTATCTGTGTTATATTCAACCTGCATTTTATCTTAAAAATGTATAAGGCTTATTTTTATGATAACTTTTGCATTCTTCGGGCATAAGGTAGAATCTTAACTCTAACAAATTTAAATCACAATAAAAAATGTAGAATCCTGTCGACTGATAGGAATTAACAAACTTTTTTGCATAAGTTTTCTCTGACTACCCTAAAAAAAAAAAAAAATCATTTCCTCCTAGAGGGCCTGAACATTTATATGTTATCTACCAAAAAAAAATTTTAGTAGTGTCCAGATGCTTACAAATGAAAGCAAGATTATAAAGTTCAAATAAGAAGGTTACTTAATAATATCCCATACAAAGTTATATTACTGTGAAAGAATTGTAGAAAAAACAATTGTCTGTTTTAATGCATGCCCAAAAACTATAAAACCGCGCTATTGTTTTAACGGAATTTTTTTTTTTTTTAAAGTACTTAAAGTTTTCCCAAAAATTTAACGTTAGCTACTCCAATAGTTTTTCTCCATCAAATTCAATAAATTAGTTTAGTTATACCCAGTGTTAATTTAATATAAGTAGAAAATTATGTTCCATCAGTAAAGAATGCTTAGTGCTTATAGCATAAATATCAATAGAATTCCGCTATTGTTATTGTTCTCCCCTCTTTTGTGAAGTTCCAATTGAACTACATACTGCTATTTGTTATTATATTTTTATTCTAATAAAATAACCATTTTTTAGTACTTTTGCTTTCAAACGTTAAATTAAATTATGGTTCACAAAAAATAAACATCAGTTGACCGTTTATGTAGTTAATAACGATTACAACACATATACATTTTTAATTAAAATAAATATCTTCAAAAAACACTACATTAAATATTCCTTTGAATATATATAAAAATGTATCGTTACGTTTTACTCTGCCTTTAACATTAAATGGTACAAACCTCTTTCATAAGAAACAAGCAAAAAGTAATCCAACAGTTCACTGTAAAAATGTTATAAAAAGACATTTTATTCTATCAAATAAATAGTGAATATGGTTGGTTGCTATGCTTTAATAATTTTTATTAAAATAGTTATTGCTATTCACTGTTTAATTTATTATTCTTTCAGCTGAAGCAACAAAACCGGAGATAGGACCTTTTAGTTTCGCCAACAATCTCACGTTTGGTAAAAGGACTTCTGTTACTTGCATAGTGACGGACGGTGAACTGCCACTTCATTTTACTTGGTTTAAAGACGGGAAAGAAATCACAGAAAATTCTTACTCAATCGTTCCGTTGGACCAATATACAAACATTTTATCAATTGCCAAGCTGGATGCGACCAGCAATGGCAATTATACTTGTCGAGTGTCGAACAAATACGGATTCGACGAAAAACGAGATGAATTACGTGTAAATGGTAAGATTAAATAAACGGTTACTGACGTGCGTTTTTATAACTTGTTTTATATTCTGGTAACAACGCACAGCTGTCTCAAAATATAACTTTAATTTTTAATAACATTAGAACAAAACTTATGCCATACGCCTCCATTGAAGAAATATCAAGTTATTGGTACTTTCATCAAGGAAGCGTATCACTGATTCAATTGAATTTTTAATCTTATCATTTATTTAAAAATTAATAAAGACGTGTCTTGCGAAAACATTTTGTTATGAATAAAAAAGTATCGTTCATATTTTTGTGAGTATCTATATTAGGAGCAAAACTGACTGATCTCCCATCAGAAACATCCTGGGTTCGAATCCTGGACAAGGCTTGTATGTTCTTTCATTCTCTGTACTATCAGTGGGAGCAACGTTGGCCCACCTAATAGGGTACCCCTGAAAATTGGCCAGCAAATATGCCCTACTGATACCTAAATGACGAGTATCAAACGGTTGGGCATTGGGAGGGGGAGGGGAATGTATGGTGTACTAAGTGCTTACGTCATTGAAATTACTATAGACGTTAATTAAATCGTGCTGTAACGAGATATGAAGTTTTACGAAATTTTAATGTGCTAAAAAATATTATTGGTAAAAATTGATTGTTTTCTTTTATTATTGATTAAAAAATATTCATATTTTATGTGAGTACACAAAGTCTTTACAGCGTTGCCACAATTACGTCCTAATCCAATTAAGATACCTAATTTAAAGATATTTAAGTTCGCTAAAAATTGTTGATTGCATAAATTGTTTACTTTTTATGATTAGAGAAAATCTGTCGTATCCAGTCTTGAGTATCCAGTACGAACAATACGACGACGTTGATGATACGAGGTTTACGACGTTGCGATTTTTGGGAATGTATTTTGGCTGGATTTTATGGATTTGAATGAATGTGAAAAAGATAGAATGTCATGAAATTTTAGTTTGCGGAAAACAATTAAGATTTTTCTTTTATCAATTGTTATTATTAATTATAACAAATGTTCATGATTTATGTGTTTCAGTATTTTTGAGCTAAGTGCTTACGACAGTGTGGTTATTATATATTGAATAATTAAATCATATCATCATGAAGAGAAATTACGTTTATGTTTGCCAAAAAAGTATTGATCGTAACAGTGTGTCCTTAATTCTTTTTAAACTGTGATTTATCTCGGTATTCTACTTTAATTTTATATTGCTTTTACTGCGTTTTCTTATCGATATATTTACTCTGAATATGAACATAGCATTTTTAATGATTATTTACTTCCAGTTTCTTGAATATATTTTCGATATTGCCTATATTATAAAGCAAATTTATTTTATAAAAATGAATGTATGTGTTTAATTAGTTGTTTTGATATAGCAGTTCTGCTTTCTTTTTTTTAAAATACAAATGCACTAGTTTTAATGTTATTAGCAGTTAATGTCAAAGATGTTATTATTTCTTCTTTTTTTAATTGTTTTTGATGCATTGACAATAGTATGTTTTAAATATTTATATATCAGTTTACGTATTCTTTTTTTTTCTGATAAACAATGCAATCTCATGCATTGTTTGTGAATGAAGAAGACATTGTTTATGAATGTGTTTGTATTGTCTGTGAATGAAGATTTGCTCTGAAACTATAACACATATACAATGAACTGTATATGATTTTGTTTACTGAACTGTTATTTTTAAGCATCATTCATATTTATGATATGACTAATATCAGTGGCCGGAAAAACTATATTATTTTTTAGCTTACTACAACATTGTTATGAATATTATTATTATATTGTTTCTGAATTACATTGTTCATTATTATTAAATTGTATGTGAATGATGAAGATATGCACTGACGACGCTAATAACACAAATACAATGAACTGTATATGATTTATTTTACTTAACTGTTCTTTTAAGTATCATTCATTATAAAGATATGACTTATATCAGTGGTCGGAAAAACTACATTATTTTCGTAGTTTATCACAACTACTTTTTATAATGTAGTAAGTAACTACAAACTATTTTTGAAATGTAGTCACTACTTTAAGGATACAAACTTTGCTGGTAAACTTAATTTACACTCATGCTCAAAATGGTTAAAAAAATAAAAATTGGCTTATTTTAAACATGAATAATTATTAAGATATATTTATTCATGTTCATATAAGCCAGTTTGTTATTCCAAGACTTTCCTTTCGAATTTGTTGATTTAACCTTCAACTTTTTTATGCCATTCTCGACAGCGAATATTTAATTTAAAAAACTATAGGCAGTTATCAAATCGTTGCCATTTTAAGTGTTTAATGCTCTTTTATTTATTTTAATTTTTTCCATTGCAGCGGAAATACGGTCCCTTCTTTTGAAATGTCAATGTTTCGCGAGTGTATATCCTCATATGAAAAAGTGTGATCTTAGTGATAAATTATTTATTATGTGTAATGGCTAGTTTAAATATGAGTTATATGGGATTCTAAATACGTAATTCCTGATTCTAAATACACTATATGATCCTTTTCATTGCGCCCATTGGTGAACCCGCGAAGACTTGTACCCATCAAAATCGAAACATTTGTTGCGTTCGAATCTTTTTTCTTTATCAAACTGATGTTAAAATAGTTGCCAGAAATCGCTACAAGCTACTGTTTTTTATATCACACTACTAACTACACTGCTTTTTTTTAAAAAGTAGCCCACTACCCTACAAACTACGAAAAAAAAACGCAGCGAGTACAGTAATTTCGCTATGTGTACTCACTTCCGACCACTGACTAATATATAATTTTCTCTTCATCATTTCATTTTTAAACGTTATTTCAATTATTTCTTCCTTCCGATAGAAAATGAAGAAAACCAACTCTTCAACTAAACAGAGTGTTTATTTTCAGTGTCACCGCAGTGGGTGCATGAACCGAGAGATACATCAGCAATGGGAGGTCAGACAGCCGTCTTGGATTGCTCCACAAGAGGATATCCAAAGCCTTCAGTGACATGGAGGAAAAAAATAGGTCTGTCATACTTTTTTTTAAAAAAATAATATGAAACCAAACAAGTTAACGAACTGTTTAAAAAATTCAATGATTTATCGTGAATGAGGTTATTTTGACTCAAGTGTTAGCTATTAAAAATTTCTATATAAATCAAAATTATTCAATGCCATATCAATCGAATGTCATATCAATAGAAATGAATGATTACGAATATACGGCACTACTCCCCAGATAGCAAAATAAGGTTTATTTTCACTCAGCAAAAACCTTTTTAATGTAAACCTAAAAAAGTGTGTTATCCGGCTTACATGTAAACCTTGTAACCTTAAAACGATATCTGTGACAATCTGCTCTATTTTACGCACATTTCCCTAATACAAAACCTTGGAAAACAGCCTTCTATATAGAAACCTTAAATCGAGGTTGATTTAGGGTTTTCAAGCGTGAGAAAAATCCTTTAATTAAACTTGTCTCAAGTTGAAAATAATCTTAAATCTAGGTAATCATAAGGTTTCTTTTCGCAAACTCCTTGTATGCTCAGGTAAAATCCACCTTGACATGAAATTTTAATGGACAATGCAATTCGATCCTATCGCTTGTGTGTCGTCAGCTAAAACGTCATTATGAATCTAAGTGATCTTACCTAAGATACTTTTAAAAAAAAGCTCTAAAAAATAATTTTTAGTCCTTTTAGGATGAAAGGTTTGAAACTGCACTATTTTTGCTTTATTGAAAAAAAGGTTTTTAGAACAAACATTTTCGTGACAATAAAAAGAAAATTCCGAGACAAGGTTGCCGTAAAGTCACATGCTTTTTGGGTCTTATGTCATAAATTTTATCGTGCTAAATGATGAAGTCCACGATCTTTAACCCCACTATACAATATTTCTAATTACAGAAAAATGCATGTAAGTTCCGAATTTTGTATCTAAAATTAATGGGTCGCGACTCATAATATCAATGAAATGCACAACTATTGAATGCGTTGCTAACATAGCAAATTCATTTATATAGAATAAAACTAATAGCATTGATGCTTTCAAGGGCGAATTAAAAATTCTAATGGTTGCGAATTTTCTGCGTAAAAATTGTCATAAGCAGTATAAGCATTTCACTATGAATTACTTCATGAAACAGTTATGAATAAGCACTGTAACATTCAAAGATGAGCTCTCGTTTCAAACAATAGCAAAAATTTATTTTGGTACATTAGGCTTAGATCTGCCTACATTGAATTCTTGAATCAATCTATATTACATCTTCATTATAAGACGCCATCTGGAGGCTCTGAATTAAATTTTTATTATTAAGACGCCATCTAGTGACTAATAGTTTTATCAGATTCTGAGAGCACACCATTAAATTCTACTATAACTAGTGAAAGAAGAGGCGAGAATGAAAACTTTGGTAAATGTCAGAAATATATAATAAGTCTATTTAAGTGCCACTGCTCGGTATACTTTTACCCGGTATGCCCTACATCAATGTTTTTTTAAGGTTCAGTGCCACTGCGCCCTGTATGCATTTAACCGGTACTCCGAAAACTGATGATTCTCCTAATCTATCCTCAGCAGATATTGAAATATCGAATAAATAGTATCAACGGGCCGGTACAGCTTGATTGGTAGGGCACTGAGGTCGTGGGTTCGATCCCCGCCGTCTGAAGACTCCTCCTGTAGTAAATGATGACTGATGCAAGTTAAATATGTCGAGTCACAAAGTCCACCATGTACCCATAACAAATCATACCTCTGAGGGTACTCATCTAAGAGTTTCCTTGTCTTCTGGATTGGTTCAAAATTATAAGGCTACGGAGTTGAACATAGTAGTCGAAAACCCAAAATTGGGTCGACTGTTCAACTACGATTATGAACTAAAATAAAACAATATAAACGAATAAATTAATTTTAAATCGGATATAACAAATATTTAGGACTCTCAAAAAAGCGACTATGTGATTGTTGACATTCACCGGTGAAAGTCGACATTCTCTTGATTTCATTCATTCACGGTCAAGCTATTGTAATTCTACACAAACTTTCACTTTAGCCGCAAAAAAATAAATAAAATAAAATAAGCTCACCAACTTAATCCATAACAAATTTAAAAGTGAAAAAAAATAATTCTAAAAAAAATTATCCAACAGTAGCGGTCGTCATATCAACGTATGCAATGACGACGCATGCGCACTGTTTAATATTACTTTTGAACACAGTTGAAAAGTGCGATAACGTCCAAATAAGGTGCGCGCGCCATCAAGCCCAAAACAACACCCATTATGCCAATGGGTAAAGATGGAGAGAGAGAGAATTGAAATGAATGTGTTTTTGTTTTCAGATGATGGTGGCAATGAGATGGTGATCAATGAGAGTTCCCGTTGGAAAATCGCAGAGAACGGATCTCTCGTTTTCAAGAAGATTGACAAAAACGATGAGGGTCTCTACTCCTGCGAAGTGTCCAACGGTGTTGGGGAAAACATCAAAAAAGCAGCCAAGCTGGACGTCAAAGGTATGTAAGATTGACTTCAAATATGACTTAAATAAAGTATTTAATTGTCGCTCCTCAAGTTGTTTCGAAGATTCTAATATAGAGTAAAAAATAAAGAAAAGATTAACATAATAGTAAAATTATGGTTTTTTGTAAGGACGTTCAATTAAATTCTTTCTTGATTAAATTTCTTTTGTAGTATGCTTACACACTCTTAGCTCTAGCATAGCTTGTGCAAACTTTTGTATAAATGTATGCATAAATATTTAATATCGGTATAATAGAATAACTGCACAATTTTTATAAATGTCTAGATAAATACCTACGTGAGGAAAAGAAGTAAATAGTCAATAAATCGATATTAATTACCACTATGAAATCATGCACAAAACTTAAAAACCAATGCAATCAATTAAGCTCAAACAATTTTTTTGTTTGTTGCCTTTCCATGTGGCTTTATCTTATCATATTATGCAAAACGTGTTTTTAGAAGTTCATTCATTCAAACTAAACCTTTTCCTTACGGCTGATACACTAAATGGACCAGAATGGCTTCATCATACCAAGCGCCGTAAGCAAAAGGTTAATTATATTCAATACAAACTGGCATAATGCTATTGCTCGAGTTCAACAGCTGAGAAACCAACACCTTTCTCCGGTACTTCACCCTTTCGGGTACCTAAAAACCTATTTTTATCGTACCTACAGTATGCATTATAGTACCGATATTAGTACCTATTGAAAAAACACCTATTAACATACCAGTAATACCCATTATTAAAATTAATTAACCATCATTAGCGTTAATAATAATAATGATTTTTTATGGTTTTCCTAAATAAGTACCTTTTCTTCATTTACCTAGATTAGTACATAATTTATGTTTTTATTTAAATTCCTACCCATTACTGAAATTAATAAAGCAACAATGGCGCCAATAACAATTTTTAACGGTTCTTATTTCTATCAACATAACTTTTTTAATGCAAAACTTTTTTTTTCGTTTCAATTTTTACCTGCTACCAAAATTAATTCATTGTAATTCTCGAAAATCATTAGTAACGACATTAATATATTCATAATCAAATTTGGCGCATGAACAAATATCGGTACTTATATCGAAGGTCGTAAACACTGTTATTGGCGCCAATGATGCCCAATTAAATATGGTATGATCGGTCGACCTACTTTTGAAACTTGATGTAAATTCTTAATCAGAAAGCAAGCTTTATTTTAAAAATCGAATGCAGGTTAAATACAACATAAATAAATACATATAATAATACATAAATAAATTTTTTTAAATTATTTTTTCAAATTCTTCAGTCATCTGTCGTTTTTTTGAAAAATAAATTTTAATTTGAAATAAATTTTAAAAAAATTATGTTATACTTTTATTTAAAATGAAGACTTCAATGAATCCTTCTTATCGTAGCTCCGCCTCGTATCAGTTCGGCGTATCGGATCAAGAGTGCCCGCAAAGCAGAATCAACTACCCTGGTGTGTGAGGCAGAAGGTGACCAGCCACTCATCACATCATGGGCTAAAAATGGCGTCCAACTTCAGACAACTGGACGGTACATTCTCTCTCTTTTTCTTCCTCTTAGGATTACTTTGTTTTTGTGAAAATAGCGATTATATTGATTCCCCCACTGACAGAAACTATCTGTACTCTTTGTGAATGGAATACGCGTTTCAAGGTTACCCGATTTTCCCACTCTCCACACTTTTCTCCTTTCCGTTACCGTGTGTACGGAAATTCTTGCGTTTTTACTATGGCAGTACGTTCCAGTAACAAATGGAAATCTATTAAAATGTAGAAAAAAAAATCAGGATTTGCAGATACCTTGATATCGGAGAGGGGTAAAGTGTGTAAATCACGTAACCTTGACAGCTGTCCTGTTTACCAGGAGTATAGCTGAAATAGAAAAGGAAAGTATATCACTCTAAATAACGTTAGATCGGATTTTCAGCAAGGGTGGTAAGTTCGATCCCGGTAACCGATGTAACGACCGACTTGTGTAAGGCAGCAAGATGCTCGTTAAATGTATCGTGGCTGAAAATGGTCTCGTTTGTTGTGGTGTCTGGAGAGAGGAGTACGTCATCTGACCTGGGTTAAAACCACGTGGTAATTCTATCATGACTGTTAAAAAATAGAGCCCTATCTTACTATGACTGTTAAATGCTAGAGTAATAAAAATAAAAATCGCGAATAAAAAATAGAATAATAAACTAATCTAGGTGCTAGGTCATGTTTGTAGGTTATGTGTGATTAGGTGTTCCTGCATTCAAGTCCAATTTTATTAAATTGAATATAGTTGGGTTTTTTTCCGACATTTATGTACATTGTATATATACATATGTTACAATTTCAGAACTTTCAGACAATTGTAAATAGCGTTTATCTAGAAAATGTAATTTAAGCAAGTGAGTTAAATCACCTTAATATTATTTTTACTTATAACGTTTTTCGTTAGATCTCTTTAACGATAAAGAAAATTTAAAAAAAGAAATTAAACAATTATATTATTTAAAGTTCAACCTTATTTAAAGTTCAACCCAAATTTTTACATTTTACGTTACGTATTTAAATTTACTTACTTAAACACTACGGATACACTTTTTTAAACACTACGCATAATCATTACGGGACAAAGTCTTGGCTTTCGAGGGGTCGGATATATTATAAATGTAACTTTTCAAGTATTTCTCCGGATTCAGCACACTAAACGATGAAGTGGTTTAAAATCTTAATTCGTACAACATCAATTTATTCCTAGTATTCTAAGTTTGTAGGATAGTCGCCAATCTTGCAAAAAGTTAACTGTTCATATCTTTTTAAGAAAAACTTATTTTGAAGAAGAAAAAACGCACTCACTGATTAAGGCAAATGGACTGCGTCGCATTAGGAATTGTTTGTATCCCTTATTTTATTGATTAAAAAAAATAACAACTTTCATGAGAAAACTTAGGAAAATGGAATCAAATGCTATATCAAATTTCTTTAGCACGCGTTTCGAGCTTTGTCCATTTTCTTAAGCATTTGTGCTGTGTTAAAAAAAAAATACTTTTTGAAAATTTGCTACCATTTATAGCATTCTAAAGTGTTGTTGTTGTTTGTGTGTATTTAAAGGATCCAGATGAATGAAGAATTGTCTGCAACAGGTGTCATAGCTCAATTTACCATCCTGTCCACTCACAGGAACGACGGAGGATCTTACACGTGTTCCGCGAAGAACAAATTCGGTGAAGTCAACAACACCATCATTCTTCGCATTGTTGGTAAGTTTTCTTTACTTCAGATCAACTCTTCTCAACTATATCCGGACAGCAGAAATGTTCTGTGAAAATGAAATCTTCTCGGAATGTTCTGTGAAAATGAAATCTTCTCGGAATGTTCTGTGAAAATATATAAATCTGCGCTTTTAAGAAGCATTACACTTCACTCAGCAATCAGAATTGTGTACCTGCACTTTACGAAGAATAAAATCACGTTTGTGACCTATGACGTTAACTCCAGCTGATCGTCTATAAGCAAAATAACGTGTTAATGTTGAGCTTTGTTGCACCACATAAGTTAGAATGTTAATTAATGTGCAGTTAATTAAATACAGTGCCGTATCGCACATCGAATTCGTTAAAAGATAAATCTTTCTGGTCTACACTTAACTTAGATTTATTATTTGTTTATGTATTGTACTGTAACCGTGATATAGTTTTAGGCTCCCTACCTGTTTTTGTGTTAAGTGAGAAATATATATTGAAAGAATTTAAATCTTTGTGAAAGAATATAGAATGTGTCACATAAGAGAACTGATACTTCGCGGGCTTGGCTTACTCGAAATATAATGGAAAGAAAAGTCGCTAACGAAAATAAACGCCACGTTTCAACAACCTATCGGTACTGAAATACTCACTCTACGTCGCTAGCAGGTATCCCATTGCTAAAAACCCTTTTATTCAAAACAAATATGGGATGTTTTACTCTATTCGATAATTTCTTTTGATGCATGTTAGATGTAAGAAAAGGATAGCCAAAGCAGAATGGAAAACTAAGATAGTAAGAGTTGCTTAAGAGTAAAGAAAAACAAAAGTGAAAGTAAACTTAAGGCAAATGAACAACATTAACCATAGCTACAAAAATAGTCCTATACGTATATGAAAAACACATATATGTAAAAAGTAGCAGTACACTAGTACACATTTGTCTATATCATATACAGTACACTCCCGATTATCCGTGCGAGGATTATCCGGTTTGCGGATTATCCGTGTTCATTCCGGAGTTACACAAAAAATTTAACGAGAAACATTTTTACGATTAAAAAAATTTGATTCATGAAGTTATAACACTACCAAATTTTTCGAAGCAATATTCATTATTGGATGCAGTATATCAGCAGCATGGTCAAAGGTAAAATCATCTACGTTATTACGATAGTGGAGAAAGATCATACCGCTTGATGAACAATCTTTAGATATTCAAAAAGAATATGATAACAGTATTCTTGAACAAGCAAAAGAAATCTAAGGTTTCGAAATTTCTGATGAAGAAAATTTAGAAGATTAGTTTCAAAAGTGTGAGCCTGCGTTCCTGTATTTGACAGATGACGACATCGTTACTTGTTAAATCAAACAGTGATGATAGTAACTGATGCAGTAAATGAGGGAAATATAATTTCTCATTCTGCTGCTCTGTGGAAACTTTATTAGATTATACGGGACGATTTGACATTACTGCGGTTTGTAAAATATGTGTCAATATACGGCAAAGTCGCATTAAAAAAAATTTTAAGCAGTAAACGTCAAAAGGAAAATTCCTAATTTGATGCTATACAACGTTCAAGTGTCAGTAATTTTTATATTTTTTGTACTGGTATTGATTTTTTCTTTAATAAAAAGAAGTTTTCGGATTATCCGTGTTTTTCGATTGTCCGTGCGACCTGTCCCGGTGATTAACCCGGATAATCGGGAGTGCATTGTATGTATATATATATATATGCCCACGGCTCTCACCGGCCACAGTTCGGACGTAAAATATTATCAGTGGAAGACGGATCATGGGTTAGAATCCCCTTGCCATGAAGCTGTTCGTGGGAGGCTTTCGTGGTTTTCCTCTCTATGTAACGCAAAAGCAAATTAGTTCTATCGAAAACGTCCTCCACGAAGGCAAATTTCTCACTATACTTGATCCAGTAGTTCCCTTCGGGTTTCGGTTCAAAATTACGTGGCTACAGAGTTGAACATTAGTAGTCGTAAACCCAAAAATTAGGTCGGCTGTTCGGCGACGGTTATAAAATAAAATAAAATGTATGCATATTTAAAAAAAATTTATGTATAAAACTTAAAATAGACGAACAGGAAAGAAAAAGTGTGCTTCCCCCCACGCTACGCCTATGCGCTCAGCACAAATAGCTTGAATTACGCATCAAAACTGACTAGCCACGTAATATTTTTCTTAGAAGGAAAAAAAGGATGAGGAAGTTCTAAAAATTATTATAGGCCATTTCTCCTATTTTTTTTTATATCCGACATTTTTTAAAGAAAACAATTTGTAAAATCAAAGATGGTGCTTTAGAAAATAAGTGTACTCAGAATGTCTCTTTGTATTTGCAGAACCACCGGAGCGACCTGTCTCAGTGAAAGTTGGAGACGTATGGAGCAGAGCGGCCACCGTCTCTTGGTCAGCCCCCTTTGATGGCAACAGTCCCATCACACAATATATCGTCCACTACTGGAAAGATATCGAAGGTAACTTTTTTTCTTTCAATCTTTGACTGACATTTAAATCAAGAAATTACAAGTATATTCTTGTCTTTGATCGAAATCAAGAACGTAATAACTCATTTAATTTCGTTACATTAGGGATTTTGTAACATACTTGATGCCGTCATGACACAGTGGTTTAGAGGACGCCATACCTCCAGAGTAACTTCTCATTGCAAATCCTCTTTTACTTTCATAAGTAATTGAAAATTTAAAGCATAGAAAAATTGAGTTCAGGGCAATTCCACGGAAGTGTCAACTTTTAAGTGAAATTTTTTTTTATGAATTGCTTATTTTAATTTTAAAAATATATTCAAAAATAGCCAAAGTCTACATATTGCCGTTTCATTTTTGATAACTTTAATTTTTTTGAATCTGGCAGCATTCTAAAGTAATCACATGGCTGACAAGTGAACTGTTCACATTTGTGCTCAAATTGTTTTCTTGAAAAATACTTTTAAAATAAAAGAAATGTATCTTTCTTTTGCAATTTTTTGATAAAAATATGCATATAGAACAAAATGTAAACATTTTAAGTTTAGTATATAAAATAAAAGTAACTTCTTTTACGTCATTCCGTCACATGTCTTAATAATGCATAAATTTCCTGAGAACGAAGATAAGATGTGACATTGGCAAGTTAGATATAAAACCTCTTCAGAGACAACCTAATTTTCAAAATGTTGAAATTTTTACTAATTCTTACATAAATATTAATCCTGTTTATCTGTTACATTCTGTTTATCATTTACATATTAATAAAACATTTTTTAAATGAAGGCTTTCTTCTACTAAACTTTTTGTCATTCCGTCACGGTCATTCCGTCACAGCAAATAGATGTTAATAACTGCTAGCCAACCTGAGGTTAATTTTCCAAATTCACATTTTACATTGCTTACACATTATACTAAAAGTATAAAATAGTTCAGAAAAATAATAGCTGCAAAATTCGCAGAAACTACCAGTTCTAAGAGGCATGCCAAAAGTTTGGTTGCCAATATGCCATTCCGTCACGCAAATAAAAAGTTCGTAAAATTGAAATTCAAAGAGATAGAAAATCCTCCTTTTTTAGTTTATGAAGCGCATTATGCCAATAATAATGATATGTATGAGAGAAAAAAAAAATTCTTTGAAATTCGATACATAGAAACTTCAATTAATTGTTATTTTACAAGTCAAACTGTCATTCCGTCACATATGGAATTGCCCTTCAGACAAACCTTATATAAGCCATGAAATTTCAAATACTGAAAAGAAAATTTCAAAATAAAGTGATAACAAATTACTTGACAATAATTTAGGGTTACGTAATGAGGAAAAATCTCATCCAATAATTTGTTTGTATTTTGATATTTTGAAATTTTTTTTAGCAATAGAATCTTCATGGCGTACTCTAGATTTATCTTAACTGAGTTTTTTTATGATTTAAATTATAAATTAGTTATGGAGGTGAAGCGTAATTTGCAATGAATAGTTTTTCCTGCTCTATAGCGTCCCCTTAAAGTACTGAGCTGTCGTTGCATTCTATCATTGGAATTGGCGTGAAGCTCATCCAGCTTTCGATCGATGGGTCCAAACTGTTTCTTAGAAGTAAAAGCGGCCAGTGCAGAGAACTGACCGCATTTCCACCAACATGCCGTCAATCACAAAATAATGGGGTCTTAATTCCACGACCCCCTTATTCGTTGTGTGAGTGCCTGCCTCGTGAAGAGCTTAATAAATACTCCACATTTTCGAAGTAAAAAGGGAAAACACTCCATTGCGTACTCAGCTTGTTCGTGACTGAAACGATCAAATTACTGTGATTTATTTATCCCTGATGGTAAACAGTTTACGAACATGTATGTCGTATGTACCTGCATGGCAGACTTTGTTCCTTTTTTATTTCAGATCAAATCAAATCAAATTTAATGGTTAAAATTGAAGGAATAAGGAATCAACTTCTCGCCTAGTTATTTGAATTATTCAATTTTGACTAATCTTTATATCAATACTACATAAAGGTGACCTACGTGATGTGTTATAATTTAGTTATATATTGAACTAAATTGAAATTTGGTATAATAAAGTTTGGAAAGTTGAAAAAAACTTTTTTCCTGCTGTCATGCTGAAGACTTTTTGTTTGTGAGTTATGCAAATCAATAACAATGTATTACTGATTTGTTTAAAATCTGTATGTCCATCATTTCACTCATGCCACGAAACCAGCAAAAAAAAATTTCGATTATCTTCAAAGAGGCGTTTAATTTTTTGTTTCAACACAGAATTATCAAAGTTAATTCTTAAAAGAAATTTATTTAATTTAATTAAGTCCATTTTTTTTAACAAAAGTTTCACAAAACAAAAAGTAATAAAAGTTTAAGCATATTTTCTTCTTTTTTTTTTTTTTTTGAAAGTGCCTTGTTATTATTATTAACCTCATAAAATTCCGGCAGTGCTTTTAATACTTGGTAAACAATAAGGTTAACAATAATACAAGGCTTCTTTTAACTCTTTCATCGCAAAGAACGAGATAACTCGTCTTCCAGGAATATCCCCTATGCTTTATTGTTGTATCAGCGAATTTCGTTATGGATTGCAATTGATTGTTATATTTTGAAGTAAAAAAAACAAGTTTCAAAGAAATCTGCTTTTTGTTTCTACTTAAACGTTTTGAGGAAACCTTCAGGGCAGAAGATACGTAATGACACAGACAATAGCACGCCATTGCTGCGATGGAAGTTTTAAAGAACCCAGTGCATGATGTTCGCATATTACCTTACAGTTAAAGTACTTGTAGACCTCATAAAAAAACGTTCTCCTTGATTACTGAATGTAATCGTATTGCAATTTATATAAATATATATATATATATATATATATAT